TAAACTTTAATCATAATCAATTCTCATCAAATGCTAATCAGCAGACTAAATAAAAATATAACCAATCAGTTAATTCAATTTGTTTAATCATGATAATAATTTAATTTTCTTATAGTTTATCATGAGTCTTACGGATGAAACCTGATGAGATGAGAAAACAGTTTCACCAAGTTGACCAGAAAAACTTTTCAGAATCAGAATCGTTTCTGATTCAATCATTTGTCATGATAATAACTCTTCTCTTCCCGCCTGATCATAAGTTAATTACTGAATACCTTTAACTGATTATAATATGAATGATGACAAAATAAATAATATAAACATATTGAATCTTCAATTGATTATCATAATGAAATTGTATCAAACAATCAACCACTGTCCTTACCTATCATCATGAATACATTTTCATATCAATTCATGTTTGTATTATTCATTGTCATGACAATAAAATGCAAATGAAACTCAGAATTCAAGTCTTAACATTCATATGGATTCATGTTATATTATTATTATCATTTTCGGTACAGAGATTGATAAGAAGCCATGAATTTTTTTCATGGAAACCCACAAAGGTAAATAACAGTTACCTTTAGGTAATGATGATGATGATGAGTGAAAAAAATATATTGGAATTGTATTGTTAATCAAACTTAAAGATATAATGATGAATAAGGAAACGGAAACACAACTAACATTACGGAAGTAAAACTTTCCATTCAATTATCAACCTCATCTTCATCCGGTTGATCAACCAAGATTCTTGTATTAGGTGCTAATTGTATTAATTACCCCTGCAAAACCAATAGAATCAAACTAATTGTAATCAATTAATCATTTTGATTATTTAGCTTTTTGATAATATTTTTAATGTTATTTGATATTTATCAAATTGTATCATCATCATTAGTATTATCAGCTGATGATTGATTGTGTTCATTGTTGTGCTTTTTAATTAGATTGTCCTGTTATCAGATTAATTTATCAAAGTTATTAATTCACTTTAATCAGGATAATATTTAAATTATATATTATCAGTAGCTTAATAATACTTCATTAACTTTAATCATAATTATCATTATAATAATAATCAACTTTGTTTTTTTTCCTAGTTTAGTTTTAACCATTTTTGTTAATCAATTTAATTAATCAAGAAAATTTCATCGACCTGAAAAACATAATCATGATACTATTATGATTACAATTATGGTTAATATTATAAATACAAATTGGACAATCAGATTAACGGTAACAATATATTAACAATTATCTTAATTCTAGTTGGTATTTCAATCGTAACCTTAGAATGCAATTAACTTGATTGTCAAGAAAATTTGATTGTCATCTAAGTAATAATGATAATCTGATGATAATGATGATGATGATGATGTTGATGATTAACAAACAACGATATTGAACAAAGATAATTAAGATTAATTAAGAGACAATTTCAATATAATATAAGAGATAAAATCTGATTGAAGTTTTTTTCTTTACTCAATGATAATTGTCTTGAGACATTTTCGATGAGAGAGTAAGATAATGTTGATAGATGAAGATGAGGATGAAGATGATGATGACAGTGGATGATATCAATTCTCTCTCTCTCTCTCTCTAGATTTAAATCAACTGATGAAAAATTAGCTCCAATTTGTGGTTAACAAAATTTTAGCCAATTTGGATTCTGATTGTAAATATTGATTAGCTAGAATTCAATAAATAAAAACAATCATATAAATGACTTTGGATTATCAATTCTGACTGAAAGATTTACTCTTGAGATAATACACTTTTAGTTGAATGATTTAAAAGTTAATTTTTAACAATTGTCATCATTTCAATCAGTATAATGATCAATTGATTGACTTGTGAGTTTCATATCTCAGAAAAAGTTAAGTTCAATTCCCATGGATATAGATGATTGAATATCATTCGTGTCGAAATTGTATTCAGATTATTAAGATTTGTCCATTTAGATTATTAACTTTATCATTGTTGTTACTATTTTTTTCATCATCTTCATCATTTATCATCATGGTGATGTGATCATCTGATGATTAGAATGAGTTTTTCGCTTCTTCAATCATCATGCCTCTTGAATTGACCATCATCTTGATAACTGTCAACAGAATATTTATATTTTAATGAGGTAACAACGCCTTTTTGTTCATGGTGACATTAGCAATTTACTTTTACTTCCTTGTCACTTTTTTTGCCACAATCATCATCATCATCACTTTATATAAACGAGGGCTAATCAGTTTTGACAGGAAATGCTTAAAGAGGTGAAATGAAGTTCAGGGGAAGAAAAAGTTTTCTATTCAAGCTCATACATTGAACAGTTTCCAATTGAGTCTGCATGTTGTTTCCAATTTCACCTGAAGATAGTGAGCTGTCAATTAGTTTGAAATGATAATTAGAGAGAGAGAGAGAGAGAGAGAGAGAGAGAGATGATGATGATGATGATGATGATTATGATTATGATTATGATGCGTTTGTATGTTTATAAGATGCAAAAATATTATATTGAACGTAAAGTATTAATATATAAGTTATTATATTGATAGAGTAAAAAAATGAACATAATAAATGGACTGTGGGTGATAAGGTTAAGGGAGAGAGGGTCAAGTTATATTCCCTCGGGTTCAGTTGCAATATAATATCCAGGGGAGAATAGGGAGAATCATCGTCATCTTCATCATTTTGGTCGGTTTATCAATTTTCTTTATCATCTTGATGATCATTTATTAGAAAATTTCTCTCTCTCTCCTTCTCTCTTTTTAAAATGAGATGTACTGGTAATTGAAGTTTCTTTTAACAAATGGGAGCAAAGATGAACAAGGTGAAGAAGATGATGATGAAGATGATGAGGAGCAGGTTGAGTAAATAAGGATGACTTGGAAATAGTATGTTATTTGTGATTAGAATAAAAATGCGTGACTTAGTTTCATCTTCATCTTTTTTTTACAAAGAGACAGACGAAGCAGAAAAGAAAGATAAGATGAAGATAGAGGATGAGGAGGATGAGAAAGATATGAGTGCTCTCTCTCTCAGTCACTTTCTTTCCACTTTTACCTTTCTCATCATTTTTCATCATCATCATCATCATCGTAGCCTTTTTCTTTCTCATAATTTTTTCTTTTTGGGTTTTAACTTTTTCTTCCACAATGTCAGTTAATTTATGATTATCATCTTCATCTCCATCATCACTATTGATATTAAGGTTAATATACAGTAAGTTGTAAGCCAAAAGGGGTGGATGATGATGAGAATGGGACTGGAAGAGGCGGTTGTTTGTTTTCAAACCGATGATGGTGATGGTGAAGATAAAGATGATTATAGTATTTTCATATTTGAAATCAATGTTGAAAAGTAAAAACAAACTTTCCAAATGTAAACATTGAGAGACACAAGGGTGGGTTTTGAGAAGGCGAACCGAGGAGGTTAAGGAGGTGGAGAATCTGAAAAGTCCGCTGAACACACAGATCCCAGAGCCATACAATTGATGGAAAAGTCTAAAATAAACACTAATCAAAATAATGTAAAATCGCATATCAACATAATGGAAACAAGATATTACTTTAAAAAGAATCGAAAATAATATTATTATATTTCCAAAAGAAGAGAGAAAAAAATTTTCGAACCTCGAATTTGTGTTCATTTTTTGATTCTAATGCAAATTGAAGGGTTTTATTTTTCCAAAGACATTCATGGACATTGAATTCTGAATGAATCCAAGCAATTGAATTGAAAGATTTTCCCCTGCAAACATGATAAGTGAATGATGGTTTTCAAATACTATTTTTTCATTCACACTTTTAGATGATGATGCTGATGATCATCATCATCATTGAAGGTGTTTACATTGTTGCCAAAATGTAAACAATCAACAAGAAAATGTATTAATATAAAAGTTCAGACAAGTGATGAAAAAGTAGTAGCAAAGTTTTCAACTTGAAATGTTGTTTTTTTTTCAATGAATTTCCTTAAATCTAAACAGTCAACAATCAGAATTGATTGAATGTAACTTATAATCAACAAGAATAACAATGAATTTGAATTGAATTAAGAAAACAAGAAATGCAAATGATTAGTTATGTAAACAGATAACTGAAAGATTGACAAAATTTGATTGAATCAATGATTATCAACTAATTGAATAACAATCAACACCTTTTAAAATTTACATATCAACCAGAGAATCAACAATCAACAATTTAATTTCAAATGATTAATCAACAAACTGCTAATCTGCAATTGTCTTGGTGTTAATATTTTTCACTGTTGTAGTGTCTTAATTGTAGGATTAGGTTTTGACTTTTTTTTGTTTCCCGATTAAATTGTTATCCATTTTCATGGCAATTACAAATCTATAATCATGATTAATAATTGATTTAACTAAATCATTGGTTACCTGTGATAATCAATGTTTATGTATGTGATTGTAATTGTTACACACCCAGAGTTTAAATATTTAATTCACTTCAATTAAACCCAAAAGCCTCCCGGCTAAATGATAAGGTGAAAACTGTGACACTCATTTTGACGAGGGCAATTTTGTCACAATTAAAGAAACTAATTAAATGATGCTAATTCATTTATCAGAAATATTCAAACTAATCAAGTAAAATATTACAATTAACAACCACAATTAATGGGTGAGGTTGATAATATTCAAAAGCATGATAAGGTGGATCTGGTAAGTATGAAAAAAAACAAAAGATTACCTTAGATGTTAATTAAATTTGAATCACAATTAAATGTTTTTCCATAGTTAATAGTGAATCTAATCACGATGATTATGATTATCTTTATTATATCATTACAATAAACTAACTAAGGTAAATTAATCTTTTGTTAATCTCATTCTTTATACAGTTAAATGCATCACCCATTAATTGTTGTTATTTTTTCACCATTATCAATTAACACTAACACCACGATTGATTAACTTGATCTAAATTATTCCAAACGCCTGCCTGCCAATCAACAATCAACAACAATCATAATCATCATCATCATTATCAACAACCATCTGTATCAATAGTTAACTTGATTGTCTACTTTTAAAGCCAATCTACTCACATTACTTAATTGTAACAATTAAAGATCATTTAATAAGTGTTGTTATTCATTTACAATGAAATTCAATCATAATGAATAACTTATAAATGATTGAAAATTGAAATTCTTTTTCCATGAGTTGTTCAATTCTATTGTCATATTGTCATGTAACCTGATTATCTCTCTTACTCTTTCATCATTCTATTATAATAATAATATCTATTCCTCGATGATTCTGTAAGTAGAAATCCTTATACTCGATCAAAATACCATTTCCATGAACGAACCAAAAAGAACCGTTAGAATGAATAATTTTATCAGTCAAGATGAAATTATAATTCGTTCCTGGTTGATAAGTTTCTCCCTCATTGAATAATACAATCAGAAACTAAATTTATCTTTCGAAATTCGAATAAATAATTTTTCGAATCAAACATCAGGTTGACCTAAAAAACGTTCATCATTATCATCATCATACCCTTCCAATGGCATGAAATTATTTCATCATTTATACTCAACTTTTATTTATTATTTTCTATTTTTCTCTTCCATCTAATTGTTTCTAATAACTCTTTATATATATTATCTTAATACATTAACCACGCTACGAAAATATTATCAACCAAGTTAATCGTAATTGTTGTTGTATATTATTCATGAATATTATTTCAAACTCATGATCAGGAAGGCCCAAGAAATTAAGGATTTGATTAAAACAATTTTCCTTCACCTGTTCACCACAATTAATGCTGTTGCTGTTTAATCATCATCTTCATACCTGTTGTATTGGTGTGAGTCTTACTTACAATTAGACTTATTATTGAACGAAAACATAACATGAACATTACAAGTGAACAGGTGATTGAGTAAATTGTATAACCAAAGATCTCAATTGTTGCACCTTCCTGATCATGAGTTTAACCTCAGTTCAGTTAATCGAGTAAGAATTGGAATCAAAGTTTTAATTCAGTTCTGGACCAAAATGGAGATTTCATTTCGTTTTCAATTTAATGTTATCATTTTCTTGTGCTTTAATAGATCTAACAGTAATTAAATGATTGATTAAATTATCTAATTGTGCGACATTGTATGGCTACAAGTATCTTCACAATATCATTAACATTAACTAAAACAGAAAAAGGTAAAAGATTAATTATTATTATGATAAGTGATTATCTTTATCATCATCATAATGTCCTTACTAATGTGCTGTCATGTTGACTATTTGTGATTTGTGATTTTTTTTAGGTAAATTATCAATTGATCCAGTTAATCAAATTGAAAGTGTCATTGGATTAACCAAGGAGATTAAATTACCAGTGTCACAATCATCATCTTCATTAAACCAACCGATATTTTCAGGTAAATTTAATTGTTGTTATTTTTCAATTTGAATTAGTGATTGACTTTTCTTTGCCGCATGATAAGTTGTAATTAAATGTTATTGTTGTGATTGATTAGATCAATATTTCCAGAGACCCATTCGACAAAATTTATTATCGACTTCATCTTTATCATCATCATCACCACAGTTATCATGTTATTCTGGTTCAGTTTGTAAATATGCAGATGATATTGAGGAATCAAGTATCATGTGTTCAGATGAAGATGATGTGACAATTTCATCTAATGGATCGAAAGCAAGAATATATGAAGATGTTAATGATTCTCGTTTAGAATTTTCTGAAGCTCTTGATGCCGCTGTAAGAGGAAATCGTCAGTCATCTTCCTCATCGTCACCATCAGGGTATCGAAGAAGAGAAAGAGGAGAAAATATAAGATCTAATAGATTAGGTGGTGGTTATATCGATACAGGCGCCGAAATTGAAGGTTGGAGAGAAAGAACAATTTCTACTACTCCTGAGGTTATTTCTAAAAGTGACCTTTTATATTCTCGATTGACACCTTCTAATTATGGTTCAGAAGGTTTGGGAATGTTCACTCCATGTTCGTCGACATCTTCATCAACTAGAACACTTTCCAGAGGAAGTATTGAAAGTTCTTTGGTTCATCGACCAGTCTCATCGACATCAGAACTTGAATCAGGTTGGGGAAGTCAAGAAGCTATTGAATCGACAATCGATGATCGTCCTTACATGATACACACTCGAGATCGGGGAATGTTAACAAACTATGATTCGGATGAAAGATCAGATTATAGTAGAAATCTAACAAGTATCCTGATTGGAATGGAAGATAATCGAAGTAATCGAAGCAGTAGAATAAGTCGAGTATTTGGAGATATTGAAGAAGCGGAATTGGAAGTAGAACCAAGTTCACTTGGATCATCTTCGATGAACTCATTAATTACTACAAATACTAATTCTAATTCTAATAACAATAATAGTACTAATCAAAGAATTGAGAATACAATTGAAGGTGGAAATGAAGATGAAGGTGAAGGTGAAGGTGGAAATGATTTCGATGGTGCGAGTAGAAGGTGTGACGATAATATGGAAGATGATGGAAAAGATGAGAAAAATGTAAAATCAATTAAAGTGCAAAGGTATTTATCTGATTCTAGAGAATCAAATCAGGATGATCGTGATGAAGAATTAGAACAAATCGAGAAAAATGAGCCACAAGTATCTCGAATGGAAAGAAATGAATATGCTCAAGGTTTGAGTATTAGAAGAAGAGAAAAGGATTGTGATAATCCAGAAATCGATAGATTAGCTGATCGAGAGAAAACATCGAATTTCGATGAAGAGAAAATAATTCGTGTTCTATCAGCACGAAGAATAATAGTACAAGAAGAGAAAGAGAAGAAGAAAGAAGATGATGATGAGGAGAGTGAAAGAGATAAAGTGGAAAATGATGGCGAAAAACACGATAAAGATGGAAAAAGTAAGAGAGATGAAAGAGAACATGAGAGAGTTGGAGAAAAGAAAGAGATAAAGAATGAGAAAGATCATGAAGATGAAGATGAAAAGGATGAACAAGATGAAAACGAAGGTGGAATTGATCAGGTTCTTAGTAAATCTCCTTCGAAATTCGTTTCGATGTCAACAACTGATTCTACACCTGCAATGGAACCTGAATATTCATCATCATTATCATCAATGAATTCTAAACGATTGGCGAATATTCTCTTGTATCCACAAGAGAAAGAGAACAACAATACAACAGATAAAAAGAAGGAAAGTGTTAAATATACAACAACATCCACTCTCTCTACTACTTCTCTTTCTCATTCACCTTCTATTCCTCCATCTTCCCCACCATCAGCAACATCTCTTTCTCCTTCTCCGTCGTCTTGTTCATTAATTCCAACATCAACCTTGAGACCAAGAAGAGGAAGAAGTGCAGGTGGAGAAAGAAGAAGTTGTTCTGATCCATTCGGAAGTATTATTAATAATAATCCCCATTCATTGAGTTCTAGTGTTCGGGATCACTTTAAATCTCGAGCAAGTATAACGGTTCCTTATAGTGGGATAACCATTTCAAGAGGATTAGTTTCGGGTTACCTGAGACCCTCGGTAGTTAATCTATGTGGTGATTATGGTGGTGATATTCAAGGAATCGAGGGGGAGTCAAAGTGTAATGAAAATGAAGAAAAACAGAACAGAACTAAACCAACAGCTGATGATAATAACAATGAGAAAAGTTCTGATTTTAGTAAATATATTTTAAAATCTCTTAAAGAGTCTAGTAAATTACCCAAGTGCCAACAATCATCTTCATCTTCATCAAATCCAACAACATCTTCATCAAATGTAACTACTTCATCGACATCAACCAGCATTAAACCAACGAATTTATCTGCTCGTTCAATCAGAATCGCTCGACAGAAACTTGATCCTGATTCATTATTAAGTTTACTTCGTCCACAACAAAACGATAATCGACCATCTTCACCTCCTCCTCCTCCACCACCACCACCACCTCAACCCTTTCCAGTAATTCTTCCTTATTCCAATTCTTCATCGTTGTCTACTTCACCTCTTCCACCACCACCCACATCTCCACTTCCACTTCCTCTGCCACCTTCAAATTCATCACTGCCAACTCTTCAATCTTCGAGTTTGCCTGAAACACTTTCTTCTGTTTCTATGGTTCGATCAATTGTTCCACAAACAATCACCATGTTCCCTGTTTCGTGTACTACTCAAACTAGAGATTCTTACACTTCTCCGCAAGTTTGTTCAATTGGATTACGACAAGATAATTGTTCCATTTCTACAAATACAGAAATTGATATGGAACTAATGAATAGAATCCTCGATAAAATTCTTGCTCCCAAAGTTTCAATATCAATACAAACAGAAGATCAATCAAGTAAACCAATTAAAGTTCGAAAGTGTCGTGATGCTTCAGTTGGAACAGAAAAGTTTAGTCGTGAAAGATTCTCAGCACTTCCAGAGACTCGATCTAAACATACACAAACTGAATGTTCGTGGCTTCGAAATAAATCCAAAGCCGTTTCTACACAAGACGATGATTCGTCTCTTCCAATTACTCTTCAATCATCCTCACCTACAGAGTCTCGTCCATTTCGAGGTATTGTTAGAATAGTTCGTGATCGACCCTACAAATTAACGAAAAACATAAACATACAAACCGATTTACCAATTAGACGAGAGATGATATTGTCTGATAGAAAGTCTCGGAAACTAAGTTCTTATAATGACAATAGAAAAATAGTTAAGATAGATGATGAAGATTTAGAAGAAGAGAAAGAAATTTTTGTTGATACAGAGACGGAAAAAGATGAAGATGAAGACGATGAAGATGGAGATGATTCATATTTTGAAGAAAAAGATGAAATTCAAAAGGAAGAAGAAGAGGAAGATGGAGATAATTTAGATTCAGTTTCTTCTCAATCCAAACTAACGAAACAAGTTAATCAATCGACACAAATTTCGAGCTCATTCCCATCATCGTCTTCGTATTCCCTAACTAGATCCCCGACATTTGATATTATAAATAATACGATCAAAAGAAGACCCAAAGTCAATACTGCCGAAAAAGTTAAAATAAGTAAGAAACAGAAATCGGTCCAAACTGAACCTTTAACAATGATTCGAGGTATTGAATTACCTTTACCTGGAACAGAAACAAGGTCAGTTTCAAGGGCAACATCACCAACTACCAATACAATTGACGATAATTACTCGATATCGAGATGTTCATCAAGACAATTAATGATTTCACCAGAACATCGAGTTAGACCAATAAGAGAATCAAATATTAATCAAAATAAACCTCAATCATCATTAACACGATCAAATGTTGAACAAATAAATAATCAACGATCGTCTATTAATAACATTGTTAATTATGGAAATACAATTAGATCAGAGTCTAATAGATCAAGACCCTTAAGGTCACCATCTCTTTCACCATCGAGGTCACCATCAAGATCATCCAATCAATTATACAGAATCACATCTCAAAATCCGGTGATGATGAAACAGCAACAATCAAATGAAAAGTTATCATCTCAGTTTGAACCACATCAACAACCATCAATCCAACAGCAACACAACTACTATAATCATCAGCACCAACAACAACAAAATCAACACCGTCAGACTGAACAAACGCCAATCCATCAACAAGCCAACATCAATAATCATTATCATCAACAACGATATTCAAATGATCCAATTTTACAACAACAGCAACAGTCCCATCAACCGTTTTCTGGGATGGCTCAACCACAAACGATTGATCAACAATCAGTACCGATCCAATCGATACCAGTTCAAGCTCCAGTTCAAGTCCATACACCAACTCCAGCACCAATCCCGATTCCAGTTTCAGTTTCAGTTCCAAATTCAGCTCTAGGATCAACATCAGAGACAAAAACACCGACATCAGGGATAGTAAATAAAGATACTAGTGGTAATCAAACGACTGATTTAATTGTTCGTCCTTATCCATCTCAACCTAATGAAAGTTTAATCAAGAGTTTCGGTCAACAATTACAAACACATTCGAAAGTAATTGTTTCCATAAATAAACCAAGTCAACGTGAGGTTTCCGAAGTTTCCTCGATCACGACAATGGATCGAAATGGTAAATTATCAAGGAAAACTCAAGTCTCTACTAGTCGAAAGGTTCCCGTGTTTACTGGTCTAAACTCGGTGAGAAATCATGAAGATGATCAAGAGACCCAAAGTACCGTTACTCAGCCCGTTATAACATCGCCGACACTTTCAAAGGCCACTTTCCCATCGACCACAGTCTCACCTTTGGGTAAAAAGTATTTCCAACCAACAGCAACAACTACAACAATCAGTGCATCATCAACTCGACCATCATCAGCATTAGAGAATCTTGATCAAAATTTTGATAATAATCATAATACAAAAATACAACAAGACGATAATTATTATATTCAGTCGATTGATGATGATATAGAATCGAATATCTTTTCACCACCCCCTCCAATATCTCCTCTTGCCTCTCATCCTTCTCATCATTCCATTCAACCAATTCAACCGATTCCTCGTCAATCTATTCCTTTATCATCCTCGTCATCAATAAATCGAGTAACGGATCCTCTTCATATTCTAATTAATGAACCTGAACAACAACACGATAATCAACCTGATGATATTGCACTACCATCACCTGCTCAATCATCTTCTTCATCTTCATCCTTATCATCCACCCCACTTGAAATTCATTATCCCCAATCAACTGCCCAAACTGGTTATCACAAGCAATTGTTACCTCCTCATTCAACTGACCAACATACTGACCAATCGCAATCACATCAAGATCAACATGAAGATCAACATCAGCGATCGACATCTTCAAATCGACTTGTCCAAACGAGCAATTCTACTAATCCGATACTCGTAACTGCTGCAAATAGACGAGGAATCAAAGGTCCAATTATTGGTATCACATGGGAAGAGGCGAGTAGCTCGACAATTTGTAGCGAAATGTCAACTGAACCTTTTAAAGACTCTGCAGGGACTTTACATCGACCGAAATCTGTTTCGCTTTCAAGTGAAACTGTTATCGGTTCAACAGGAAAAGATACGAAAGTCGAGACTCGATCTCGAACTAGTCGTCGATATGCCGATAATTGTATAATAGAACCAGACATTAAATCGGAAACTATTGTAACAGATTCTCCGCCATTTCCTATTACTAATACTTGTTCTGAATCCAATAATCGGAATGTTTTACCTTCGAACTCTGAAGATTCTCATCGTCCCCCTTTACCTCCAACAACTAATCAACCATCTGATCAAAATGAATCTTCAAAACCTCCAACACAATCACCCACTTCTCCATCAAAAATCTAATGAACCAACTGATCGTCACCAACAAGATCACCACCGCCAAGAACAAGAACAACAACCACAACCACAACCACAAGCGCAATCACAACATCAACGACGACGACATTTATCATCAAAATCAGTAAATTATGAGAAAGTAATAAATCACCAAAGGAATGATGATAATGTTGATGGTGGTCAAGGAAGACAAAGAGGAGACGGAAGAAGATTGGGCAGTGGACAACATTCATTGTCCACCACTAACCTGTTACATGGGCTATCTTATCCTCCTGCTCCACCTTCATACACAACATCATCTCCGATTAATCAACAACCCTTAGGATTTTATCACCCGAATTATACTGAGACTCATTTACCGAATTTACCAAATTTTCGTGATGATATGAATCTTCGTAATTTACGGTCAATTAGTTTATCTGACTCTTTGAACGATAAACATAAAAGGTCACCAATGTTGATAACATCGCCACAGCCTTCGGTTGACTCGGGATTGAAAGTCGATGGAGGTTCAAGTGTCGACTATGATCAAAGTCGAAGTAACTTTGAGTCTCGAGAATCTGTTTTAAGAGATACAGATTCACGTTCGATCTCACGAGTTAACTCCTCGCACGAATATGATGCTGGTAAAGTGAAAGAATCTAAAATGAGAGAAGAAGCAATTAGAACCTTGGCACAATCGAGACAACAATCGTCGATGGTACCCAAAGGTTCGAATGAGTTTAGAAAAAGTCAACAATCATTAGAACCACGATCAATAGAAAAACAACAACAACAACAAGTAGATGAGAGAAAAATACAAGAAGAAAGATCAAAATCTCAGGGAGAAACTGAGATCACAACAAGTATCACGAAAACGAAGATTCCTCAAGAGACAGAATCTGATGGAATGGGAGGAATACGAATCAAAAGACCAGCAATGTCACGATTAGTACTCGAACAACAACTCCAATCAACTGACAGAGGAAAAGTAGGAATGGGAGAAATAGAAGGAGGAGGAAGAAGAATAGGAGATAGAGAAGGAAGAGAAGGAGTAAATCCATCAATGGGTGTGGGCGATGGATGTACAATCTCATCTTCGATTACATTAGAATCTCCATATGAATATAAGAAGAGACAAAAAGAGAATGCAAATCAAAAAATGGTCTCGATGAAAGATTTGACCTTTGGGAAGAAAGAAAATGAATCAATTGGAATGAAATCAGCAAACTCCATGGATTCAATACCAAAGAAAAGAACGAAATCTTGTCACAGTTATACTCTTGGTGGTTCGACACCAGGTATCGGTTCTATTGGAAGACAAGGAGAGGAAGATGAAGATGGAAGAGGTGGAGAGGTGATAACTACAAGTAAATTCGAGAGACACAAAAGTCCACAAGACAGTCGAGGTCGTGAGAAGACAACATGGGAATACTCAATGGAGTGTAATTGTGTCAATGGTGTTAATACATCGCTTCGGTGAGAAACAATCAAAGTTTAAGATTAAACCTGAAACCCAATCCATTTGAATCAGTAAGCGAGTAATTAACAAGAACAATTTGAAAGTTTTTCGCCAAAATTAATGCTCATTAACTTGTTTAAATTTCGTATCATAAATTATTTATTTTCTAATTGTAATCAATTCTTTTTTCTTTTCTTATTCTTTATTGTTTAGAACGAGCGTAAAACATAAACGCACTTATTTGCCATTCGCTTGTACGATGTACGAATCCAGTGTTTGATCAATAGGACAATCGATTTAATTGATTCGCACGATTGAACAATTAATTTCATGGATTAAATGTCGAGGATGGTCAATGACAGGAAATTTTTTTTTCTTTTCTTTTTCATTTCATTATTTTCTAATTTCTTTATCATTCAGCTTTTTTCTGTTCTATTATTTTCACCATTTTCTTAATCATGTAAACACAATCTTCACTTTTTAATTACTGTTAATCATTGAGAATATTTTAATAAATTAATTATCTACTAATATAATAAATCCATGAGACATTCATGAGGTCCGATTGGTGTATCATGGTGTCCCAAACAAGTTGCGTTTGGTTCCCAAGGGCCAAAGAATTGTTTCATTTTGATCAAGCCGTTCGACTCGTTCGGCTATCCTCATATAATATATATCGGCTATAGTAATAACTGATTTGATAATAATAATAATAATCATGGAGATCAGGATGATAATGTTTGATAGAAAGTCATGATAATCAAATGAGTTTTAATTTAATGATTATTATGATTATGATTATCAGTTATGCTTGAATTAGCAATGAATTAACTGCAAATATAAAAAAAAGCTAATCATTTGATGATCATGATAAAAACTCATTGTATAATTAACTGAAACTAGTTAGTGTGTTCAGGTTAATCATTTGGTTGATTCACTAATTGCTTCAATGATTTTCAGTCAACTAATCATAATATATTTTTACCTAGTTAACAGTTGATGGTCATAATCATTATCATCATAATAACATAACAATTAAATGTCAAATTATTCATCGTCATCATCAAGATAATCAGATAATCAGTTTGATTATTATGATGATCAGAAAGTTAATCATGAAGAAGAGGAAGATGATTATGAAGAGCAAAGAAATTTGTAAAGAAAAGCAAAAGAGATGAAAGAAAAAAGTTCCAACACCAAAATTCTGGTTCTGAAATTGAATCTGAACTTTATCCGATGATGGATGATGAAATATCTCATTATTAGGATGATAAGGATGATGAAGATGATGAAGATGATGATGCTCGTGAGTTTTCATTATTGAACTCAATTGAAAAAGCAACTAAAATTCAAGGTGTATCTTCAATCGTGATTATCATCTTATCATGATAATTGAACTTTTTGATTGTGGTTTGTTTTTTTTTTACTCAAAAACTGTTGATTAACTTGATTGTTTCTTACAGTTGATTTTCAGTGAATCATTAATTGTTTGAGTGATTTATCTGTGAATGAATTAATTGTTCATCTTTTCTGTTTGTTGTTTTTATTTAATTTTCTTGATTGTTTTCCAATCGTCAGAACAAATTTACTCAACAATTTATGCTTATTCAATTTTACCTGTGGGAGGATATGATCAATGTAACTATCAAAATCATTGATTTAATCATGATAGCCAATGGTCATTGAATTACTGTTACACCTTTGGGAGCAATTTATTGATTCATTGGATAATAGTAATAACAATTTAAATGATGATTGAATTGAATCACTTTCCATTTACCTCTAATATTGTAAATGTAATCATCAAAAAACTTTGAATTAGATATCAAATCCTCATGAATTGTTTTTTCCTTATAGATTGTCATTGAGTTGACCATTACCACTGGTCACCTTTAATCAGGAAAAGTTATCATTAATTGACCATGAGGGTTGAATGTTTAATGAACAAGTTAAATGTCTCAATGTTGTTTCATTTTAATAAGATGATAAAAAATTCTGGTACAATTTTGTTAAATTGTTGATCATTGGTTGATCATTAAGCACGATTACTTAATTAATGAAGATGATGATGATAATATCTCATGGTTAGATTATTATTATTTACAAAAATGAGTCTGAAAAATTATCTTTATACAGGTAAGATTGAGGAAAGAAACTTATACCAAGAGATAATCTTGAATTCTTGAAACGTTAATCTTACAATGGTCAAGGTATTGATGAGGATGATAAGATTGACTGAGATTTGATTATGTAATAACATAGGGGCTTATGAGATGATAATGATTACCGTGAAAATGAAATGTTGATTATTTATCAATCGCTGGGTTACTTGCTTATATCTTGATGGTCAGTATATTTTTTTTTTGCTTTGGTCATCACCTTATTAAATTTTTCCTAATGATGAGATAACCTTAATATTATTATTATCTGATTGATCATAATGATACTTGAAACAATCAAAATATTAATAATAATCCAATAAGATGATCATTTGTTTGTTTATCTTTTTGTTTTTCTTTTGCTTTGATTAGCAGAAATTATTGATTATTCAAGAATCGGAAGTTAATCAAGTCAATTGATTAAGATCAATATATGAGATATTGATTACAATCAATTGATTTGTTATGATTATTTGTATTACTAAATTATTAGTGATTCAACCAATAGGTAACAAGTAATTATTAATATTACAATAAACTCTCAATTGTTACTCACAATTAATCAACACCAATCAAAGTTATCCTTAGATTTTGATACAATTAATTTGATTCATTTCCTTTGATTGGCTCAAACCTTTCGATCATCTCTTGAATTAATTTAATTAACTTTACTTTCCCAAAATGTTAATCATCACAAATTGTTTACAATATTAAAATGCTAATGATTAAAGCTGATTGTTAATCAACTAACGTGATTGTTAAAAAAACTTTTACCTCTTTTTATTTGTTAATTTAACAAACTAACCCAAAAACTTTTACTTTTTGATGGATTAAATTGTTTACAATTAAAAAATTAACATTAATTATGAAACGATGATGATTATGATGAGTCTTGTTATTCAAATTAACCTTCAACTTATTAAGGTCAAGTAGTTTAATCAAACTGATTAACCCACGTTGTTAGTTAATTTGGTTAAGGTGCGATACACGCAATCAACGTTCTAACGTATTTAGATTGTTAATCGTGATTAGAACTTTTTTATTTTCGAAACAAAAAAGTAAAACTAAAAGTTTTGCAATTCGACAATTGTTTTTCTTTTCATCATTTTTTTTCATCACAATTACAATTAAAATGCTTCAAATTAATCAGCAAACGCTTCCAGGTTGATTTGGTTGCTTATGTTAATCATTATAAACAATTAAATGGGTTAATTTTCATTTTCATTTTAATTATCACTCGAAAAGATTAAAATTAATAAGTTGGCTGATTAATTTTCACTTCTTATTAAATCTCATCAGACACACGAAATTTAATCACAATAATTATCATTATTTAGTGACCAAAACAATCAAGACAAAATTTCCGATTTCAATCAAATTAAATATTCTGAATATCAAACACAATCAATTTCAATCATCTGTTGGAAAAGTAATTAGTTTTTTTTTCGCGAAAATTTCAGTAAATTGATTACAATTAGTTAACTTATTGTATCTGTTTATATATTTTCTCTTTTTGTTTCTTGTAAACAATTATAATTGTAACAATTTAGACCCAGAGATGATCTTAATCTCTATCATTATATGTCGGCTCAACAATTAAGGCTCAGAAAATGAGTAAACATCTAATTGAAAAGGTCATCAAATCAATCAGAATAATTTAGATTAACAGCCAATGGTCATGTTATTATTATCTAAAGCAGCTTGAAGTAAACTCGGTGCTTTTATTAGAACAGAAACAAAAAGGTTCTAATGGGTTCGAACTTGTCTCTGCCTCCAACTTCAACTCCATCTCTCTCTCTCTCTCTCTCTCGATCTTAAATCATAAACATAAGTTAATTGTATTATGTCAATGGATGAGTTTTTCTTGGTGAAAATCTGCTCACTTTTTGCTTTTTGCCAAATCCCTAGCGAGATAAGTTGCACTTCTTGATGGGCAGTGGTCACTATTGGTCAGTTGTTGGATATCTTGTTGATAATTTTCTCCGGATGTTAACATCTGCTGGCTCATCTTCCTTATCCATAGCTCCCCTTTAATCCCTTTACTTGTATCCATTATCATCATAATCATCTTTGTATCTTCCTTTTCATCCAAATCAACAAATTGCCTTGTTTATCATCTTCATCTTTTTTTCTCTCTTCATTCTTCAAGAAAGAAAAATCGTATTTTCTATTTGTTTGGGTTACTTTTTTTTTCTTTCACAAAAAGTTATTGGATAAACATCTTTAATCGGAAGATTCATTTTCTTATATGAATGTGTGTCCACCATTTGTGTCTTCCCTATTGGTTGACAAAAGAAGGTTAAAGATAGTGGACAGTAGATGAGAGGGAGTAAGATGAAAAAAAGGTGAAGTAAGATGATGATGAATAAGAAGATACCTTAGATATATTGTCACAAGATGAAGAAGGTGAGAAAAGGTTAATAGTCAATAGCCTTTGTCCATCTTCCTATTTTTTTTCATTCTCTTTTCTCTAACATGGTTGGTCTTTTCAATACTGGACAATAGGATTCACCACCCATCAAGTAGAGGTGATGATGATAATGATGATGACGATCAAGTTGCTGTTTCAACATTCTCTCTCTCTCTCTCTCTCTCGATCTCTCTCTGTCTCTCTGGTGAAATTTTCACAGAAAAATAACACAATCGCTCCTGTAAGCTAAAAGACTAATCTCACATTAATGCTTGACGATGGACAGTTGGGTTAATGGTCAGTTTACTAAATGATGATACCAGAAGATGGAGATGATGATAATCATTGACAATGAAGTTTTCGCCTTTAAAACTTTTTATTGCAATTGACAAGAAAAGATTTAAGGAAAAAAAAGATTCCATTTAGATTAAAATCTTTACATCATTTAGTAGATAACAAAGGTTGATAAATCACTGATGGGAGAAATGTTTTGGTCACTTCTGTCCAGTAATTTGCAAAACTGCTTTTTCAAGATGAGGATGATGGATAAAAGTATTGTAAGGAAAATTTTGTTTTACTATTTTAAATGAGAATCTGCAATTATTTCCAATTATTCATATGAGTTATTTTTCATTTTAATATAATCTCTTGGTGTTGGTGGTGATGATGATGATAAATATTGAGGATGACAGAGTGAAAGTCATGAGTATTTATGTGAAGAGATTGTTGAAAATCTGGTAAGATTATCATGAAAATGAATTCAACATGAAATAAGGATAAAATTTCAATATTTTCATCTTCTATCACCATGAAGATGATAATGATGACTGGTCACCTCAATTTATCATCTTCACCAAATCCTCTTAGAAATGGAAAGTATTATAATTCAAAAATGTTGCCCGTAACAACTACATCCCCAGCAAACCATCACTACAACGCCTTGAAGTGTACATGCTAGTATTGGGTCTCAGCAAGCGAAAAAAACGCGTTTATGAATCCAAATGAATGATAACTTTTTATGAAATCGTAAATAACACGTTTAAAAATACCGTAAAAGGGCGAAAATCAAATCAACGAAATGTTCACTTTAAAGCTAAACGCACTTAATACTTTCTTTCATGAACGCGAGAATTACGAACGCGAGATATTTGTATTTAACTAGTTAAATAAGATGCAAAATTTACTTGACAAATAAACGAGATCAATACATGAATAATTAATGGAAAAATTCGATCAAAACATGAATAATTAACAGTAGAATAATTCGTTAAACATAGAAATTGTTTAAATGAACATTTCTACACGAGATTCTGCAGTTTTCATGACTTCTTGTTCATCTTCTTCGTCATCAGTTTCCAACATGAGTTTCTTTCTTTTACATGGCTGTGAGCTTCCGATTTCATTATCCAAAACACTTTTTCTTGTTTTAGAACCATCAGCACGATTAGCATCGTAAATTGCTTTGGTTACTTGGGTCATGCATTCACGATATTCCTTGAAACAAACGTAATCTAGACCGAGAACTTGATGAGAGTGATCTAGTTAACAAGAAAATATTTGTTAAAAAACTAAAACATGAACAAAACATGAACAATACATGAATTTTGATGAAAAAAGTACCTATTATCATGTCGATTAATTTCTGTCCATCTTCTAGCCTTTCATGTCCATCAAACTCAGGACTTCCAATTCTGTAAATGAAATTGCTCTCGTCGGCTCTATCATTGACTTCAGCTCCTATTTTGAGCTGCTTATCGAAGCATCTTCTCATGAATCTTGACACAATTAAATGAGGTTGATCTCTATCGATTGCATATCCATATTTAGCTAATTCAAGTGTCAATCTTTTATCAATTTTAACGAGTTCCTGTAGCATGAAAAATTGAGATTAATATATCACGAAGAACATGAAATGATACATATATTTACCTTGTCTTTAATTTTCTTCACTTGAATTTTTCTTTCAATCTTGTATCCTGAATTACTTGATTTTATGTTCTCATTTTGTTCCATTTTTTCGTTCATGTCCATGATTATCTTGAATAAATGCATGATTATGGGTTGGTATGGCTTAGATGGTTTCAAAGTAGGTAAAGTTTGTTTCACGAAAGTTATTGACGATTCGATTGATTCATCAAAACATTTTTTCTTTTCAACTGCATGAGACTTGACTTTTGCTAGGAGCTTGCTATCGGCGAAATACTTTTTTATGGATCGACGTTTGCGAGTTTTACTCGTAGGCACGACACTTTCAATGTCATCAGTTAAGATCTTGTCTCTAGAACATGAATTCTCATCTTCTTCTATCGAGTTACTTCCTTCGATTTCTTTTCTTGAACCAGAGAAACTTGATTCTTGTTGAATAGCCAAATTTTCTACTTCTTTTTCACTTGAATTCGGCTGTTCTATTGCACTAATTGTTGATAATGAAGCAAAACTTGATTCTGCATTCGACAGTGAAAGTGAACTGAACGGACGAGCACTAATTTCTTGTTCAGTTGGGTTTGGGGTTGAATTTAATATTGTATTTTCATCGAAATCAGGATCATTATCTTTTAACATCGAGTCATCTTGTACAGGAAGATCATCCCCATTATCACTCGACTTGGCATTTTCAAGTAAATGTCTCAACGCAAGAACCAGAATCTCGTTATCATCAGCTACTGACACCTCTATTTGACTCGTACACGAGTAAAAAATTGAATCTTTTCTTGAATTTTCTTTCTTGAACAATCCTGATTTTTGTTTCAAAACAATGTCAAACGTGTTTTCAAGTTTTTTACGAGAATCTGATATAGTAGATGAATTGTAACATGATTAATTGACATGATAAATAACACGTAATACTTGATGTTTGTACTTACTTGAAGAAGCTAATATTCTCCCTGCATAAGATGTTTGGTTAATATCGTACTTTATGATCTTGGACTCACTAGCACTAACACGATGAAAACTATCTTCATGGACAAGTATTATTGTTGGCACAAGCTCATTTACTTGTACGCTTACAGTTGCAAGAAGAATGTAAATTTCATCGCTTTCACATGTATCAGGTAATTCATCCACTAGATCTACTAAAACAGTTTTAGTGTTCTTGTTGCTTGCTGAGCTTGTACGTTTAGATGACCTTAATGTTGTTTTTTTGTTCACCATTTTATAATAAGACAATAACTGTTTTTGCCACTCGGGATGAGGTAACTTGTATCTTCGTCTAGTTAGCGGTTTACTCTTCTTTTGCCCTTTTTTATATTCACTTTTTTCATGTAGAAACTCACTTGATTCAGGTAACATGTGTAAATGAATTAAAACGTGTAAAATCTATTAAAATCTCTAATCAATCACTGAGACGATCCAGTTGTGATTAGATTACTTGTTTTACTAGTTACTTGTAATCAAGTTTGATTTAGATACTAGTATCTAATCTGGTTAGAAAAGAGATCTTATCTTGTTTCATTTTGTTGTGAATTTTATAACCACGTGTTTTTTTCATTATCATGATTAATAAAGTTTCAAGTTCGACTTTGAAGCGGTCTAATAAACTCATTTTCGATCAAAATTTATCTAGATTAAGTGAACAACTAGAATCTGATTCAAGCGTGTGTTCATCAGTGAGCTCTCAGCTTGATTCGTGCTTTTCTCATGATAATTCATTTTCATATGCATCATGTAGTGATGAAAGCTTAACTTCTTGTATGGATCGTGGACTTGATTCTCCCAAAATTTTATCTGCTTTGATTGGACATTTAATATGGAAAAGCCGTTTAACCAAGTCTCAAGCTAATGATGTACTTGAAGCCATGAAAATTTTTCAGCAACATGGAACATTTTCGAGTAACATAAACCTCCGCACTATTTGGCGGCAAATGTCGAGATCCATGAATAAAGAGTATTGTTTTGTATGCAAGAAAGGTCATTTACATCGATCATATTTCGGAGAACCAAGACTTTTCAAGCCTTCGAGATGTGATTCAGGTTATTACAGGCCTAAACTAACGAATGGAACTTATTTCATTAAAGTTGCGATAGCTGATATAATCAAGAATTACATGGCAACTTGTAAAATCAAAATTAATGAGCCAAGTGAAACAATCATGGCTATTCAGGATGGGAAACTATCACGTATTTCAAGACAAGATGGATGTTCTTTGACGATGACAATGTTCACTGACGAAGTTCCAACATCAAACTCGAGTAGATATAGTGCTTTCCCTATTTTCATGGTAATAAATGAGCAAGACCAGAAAGATACAAGAAAAAACGTATTTCTATGTGGTATATTTCATGGAAAGAGAAAACCAGAACAATCCATTCTATTTCTTGAACCGTTCATACAAGAGTTACATGAACTTGAATCTTTTGGGATACAATATTTTTGCAGAGAAGCTAAAGCTGTTATTCGAAAAAAGTTCAAATTAACTTGTATCATAGCTGATGCTCCAATGAGAGCTTATCTCAGGTGTGTAAAGCAACATAATTCTAAATACGGTTGTGATTGGTGTAAAATTGAAGGTATCAGCTATAAAGGTTCCATGAGATTTCGTTACATGAAAGATTCTGAGCTTGAACGCAAAGCTAGAAGCAAACAAGATTTCATTGATCATGAACGAGGTACTTGTACACAGGAAAGTGTGAACTCGTCAATAAAATCTCGAACCATTTTGAATAATTTAACTTCATTTGACCCGATAAATGGATTTTCAGTGGACATTTTACATGCTGTTTACCTTGGGGTGGTCCGTGATTTGATTTGTAGAGCTTGGATGAACACTGAATATCGCACAAGAACTTTTTATATTGGCTCATCAAAGAACAAGTTAATCATGAACAAAAGATTAGATAATATTCAAGTACACTCGGAGCATGTTCGTCAGCCTCGGTCACTCGAAGAGCTTAAAGATTGGAAAGGAAATGAATATGCATCTTTCATGGCTTACTACTTCTTTCCTGTTCTTGATAAAATATTGCCGACAAAGTACATAATTCATTTCGCGTTATTGAGTCAAGCAATTATAACTTTACAGTCAAAGCGTGTCCATGTCTCGAGAATTCATGAGTCACATAAAAAAATTTCTATGTTCGTCATGTTAATGGAAAGTTTATATGGTCTCGAGTTTTGCACTTATAATAGTCATATTCTTCTTCACATCGCGAATTCAGTACGCAATCTTGGACCTGCAGGAGTATCATCAGCTTTTGCATCAGAAGATGAAATGGGACGAATAAAAAAACGTGTTCATAGTTTCACAAATACATCTCAAAATATCATGAATGTTTATGGTATTAAAAGCTCATACCATCAAGTGATTCAAGAATTGCAAGAAGCTGGATCACTGAATTCAGATGAAATTAATTTTTTTGGACTTGACACTGAGAAAAGTGGATATCATGTACATGGTTTAACAAGTGAGCTGCCAAGTATGAGACTACGAAATTATATGAGTCACATGCAGATCGAGTTACATGAACAAGAACAAGTAACTAAAGTCCAAAAGGTAACATTTAACCACAAGCTTTTTACTATCGCAAGAGATGATGAGCACAGAAATCGAACAAATTGTTGGGTTAAAATTGATGACGAAATTTATTCAATCAAAAACATGTACTTGATACGCGAGAAGATATATATTGAATGTAATGAAGTTATTGTGGAAGCCATCATGTTGGAAGAGAACATTATTCATGAAAATACAAGAAAGCTGATAAAATGTGAAATTCATTCGATTCTAAATGTCAAGGAAATCAAACAAGAATCTTGTTTTCATGATTTATCTAAAGTGGGTAGAAAATTATTTTCTTTTAAGAGAGGTGTTCATGAATATCTCATGGTTCCTTGTCTAATGATTTATTGAATAAGAAATTTTGTTTACGTGATTCAAGTAATTGCAAATGATTTATTGAAGTAACATGTAGTCTTGAGATTTGATGAAGATAAAAAAGAAAAATGAAAAATTGTAATGAACAAGATAATGATGAATACGATAAAATTTCATAAAATGATAACTTCTTCGAAAATATTAAATTTCGACACGTGAAAAAGATTCATGTTTCATGATTTTCAGTTATTCATGACTGAAAAATAATTTCTACAACTTTGCAATGAATGTTTATCACTACAAAATGGACACTCGTGTACACGATGACAATTAATAAAAGAAGAACAATCGTTCATTCCATGAAACCTGAAACAATAATTCTTTGCTGGAATGAAGCATCCATCGTTTTCTTTACAAGATATGGCCATCTTATTTTGTATCAATAGTTGACTCCAATCTGCTTCACCTCCTTCCATTTTTTGCTTAATTCGGCAAAAAAATGTATCCTCGTAAGCATATCGACGTGTGACACGAACCCTGGCTCCATGTTTCTTGAAAAGATTCGTGAGAAATGTTATTGCACATCTCTTAACATTCGATGTAAACACGAAATTCGAAACTGGTTTAATATCGCTCAGCTGGACAAGCATACATGTTACTGGTGGAATATCAAGTTCATGGTCATGAATCATCCCAATTTTTCTAACTTCAACCATGATATCGAATCCAAAATCAAGAAGAAAAACCCGTACAGTTTCTTTAACACGATCGATGAACTTGACTCTTCCTCTTTTTAATGGATTTGTGGCGGAAACTGAATCTTTCACGATAACGAAGTCACCATACGCGTAATCACAGGGTTTCCAGCTTAATTCATGTTCCTTGATTTTTTTGAGAATCATGAATCGTGTTTCAACTAGTTCTGGAATCTCACAGCAAATATAAAATGGACTCAGAACTCTTGTTAATTGTACAAGAGCAGGTTCTTGTTTTTGCTGTGACACAGGTTCAAGTTCAGGTACAATGATTAAAGAGTCTTCTTCATCAAAACGTAAATTACGAGCTGTATTCAATGGTGTTGGTGTTAATGGAACATCTTTTCTTGGAGTGAAAGCATACGAGGTTGATGGTTGTTGATATTCAGGAATTCCAGAACTTGAACTAGCACTAGTATTAATTGATTGACCCGGTTCACGTTCATGGTCATGTTCATGTTCATGTTCATATGTTGACTGTAAGTCCATGTAAATATTTTCATGTTGAGTGATCGAGAATTTTGCTCGAGTTATCGGGAATGAAAGAACATTTATATTTCTCATCGATGACAAAAAATCGCGTAAACGTGTCTCTCCTCCCTGAATATTTACAAGACTTTTTTGAGCAGCTTCAACTATTTTTGTTATCATTCCACCAGCTCCTATTAGTCCTTCAATCTAAAGACATAAATAAAATATTACATGATACATGTTACATGTTTTCATGAATCAAGAAAAACTCACCTTCTTAACGTGTTCATGTTGCTTTTTTAAGCTTTCAGACTCCTTTTCGAATTGCGAACAATAAAGCGTAAAGTTATTCTTGATAAGCTCAATTGACTCTTTGACCTTTTGCTCTTCAGCTTGAAGAATATTTTGTCTTTGGTACAAAATCGTTGAAATTTTTTGACTTTTACAATTCATGATTCTCTTGGTTAAAGCGAAATCTTTATCCATGTTCTTGCTTATATTCCCGTGTTCATGTACCAATGTTTCAAGTTCCATGTAATTGCTTTTACAATCCATGCAAACATTTTTCTTGATATCTTTCACGATAAATTCAGCCACAAGGATCTTACAGTCATCACAATTAACTGACTTTTGTAACGATAAATTGATTGGAACAGGAATACATGGTTGCTCGATCATTCTAACATGAACGTCAATCAAACATGATCCACAAAGAAATCCATCTTTGATGCACCTGCAAATGAACTTTGCTCCTGATTGACATCCACGTTCATAGTATTTACAGAATTTTCCTTTTTCAAGTTTAAGAAACGAGTCACTTATAACAGGATTGTCACATTTTGTACATGATTCATGTAAATCACGAATGCATGTTGGACAGAATAAACAGCCACATGTTGATAATATTAAAATATCTCCATCATCAATATTACATGAAGCACAAGAAATATTAGCGTTTAATCCAGTGTCATGTTGAAATGGTCGTTTTTTGGATTCCATGTTCAAGTTCTGAAATGAAAGTGGAACATGTTTAATGATCATGTGTATTATTTCATGTCCATGTACAATGAATTTGAGAAAAACTTACGAATTCTAGTAACAGGCACAAGAGAAACGACAAAAAAAACGAGAAAGAAAAAGCTTGTAGCTTGTACGATGAAAAAAAGCCTGCGAAAGAAATTGCTGTTTATTATTAGTTATGGTTTATTACATGTTTCATGTTTCTAAGTTCTGATATTCATGCTCTCATGAACATGCACAAAAGTCATGAAATGTGTTGAAAACATGAAAATACTTACGTAGAAATTGAACAAGTATCGAGACAAATATCTCTAAAAAGCCGATTTACACTTGACAATTGTCAAAAAAGCCTGTTGAAGAAGTTGGTATCTATTAGATTAATTCAGTTGAATTTGGTACAAGTTTCACGTTATCGAGTTCCATGTTACATGAAATTCATGAATAATTAATCATAACTACCTGTTTTTATCAGTAAAATTTAATTTCCAAGAATACACGAAGATCACAAAAATTAAGCGTAAAAATTTAACACAAGACTACAAGTTAAAATTTTCTCTTTTAAAAACACTTTTTGTTTCATTTTTTTCCAGGGGTCGTCTTATAATTATGCGCGTTCTACGTAAATTAAATTTTCGTGTTAAATTAAAAAAAGTATTCATGAGCTTCACATGCAAGTGAACGCGAATCTTGATTATTACGAGAGCGATCACATGAAAAAAAAATTTACATTTATTTTACTCGAAACTTGCTCATTACGTTATGCGTTTAAACGCTTCATGATTTTGGTTTGCTGGGTCATCTTCATCTTTATCCTCTTTCATCAGAAAGGATGATAGATCTGAGAGAGAGAGAAAGAGAACGAGAGAGATGAGGGAGAGAGAGAGCAATGATTGATGTCCATCTGATTTTTTGCTCTCCTCTTGGTGACCATTTTAATCATCCTCCTCTCCATCTCTCCCATTGCCTCATCTCCATTGTTCTTGTAATAATCTAACAAGCTACAGATTGATTGGATAAAGAAGGGGGAGTGAGATGGATGAGGAGATGAAGATAATGATGAGGATGCTGATCTTTATCCTAAAGCCAATGTAAGTACTCAAGTCAAGACCTCCTATTGAGACTAGGATATGATGAGAAGGATGGAAAAGATGATAAATAAAAACAAGTCTTATCGTAATCTTCAAATGATAAATCAAATAATATGATGATCATTTTCTCAATAATATAACAATTGTTTCAAATTTATCTCAATTCAAATGGTAATTGTATCAAATAGGAAAAGTTTAGACTCTAATAGTTTGATTAAAAAGTAATTACTGTTAATCTAATTTGAGACTAATTGTTTTGAAAAGTAAAGTCAATCTAATCGAGTGAATATTTGATCATTGGTCAAGAGATGATGGTCAGTTGAATGAACCAGAATAATGAACCGAAAATGAAACTTAATCAGTTGTTACAAAACTCTAGATGGCAGCAGTTTAACTTTTATAAGTTCGAAATAAAAGTTTTTCGAATTAATTTTCTTTTCTTCTCTTCCATTATATGACTTTCTCCTAATTGTTATTTCAACTGTAGAGTATTTTAAGAAGTCATGGAAAGTTTTTCCTCCATCTTCTTCTCTGTTGATTGTTGGGTGTAGTTAAGATTTTCTCTCTTGAAGTGAATCAAACTGACCAACTCTTGACCATTCGGAAAATACTGTAAGATATATGCTACTTATCGTATATCTTAAATGAATTTATCATGACCATGGGAAAATAAGTTGGTTGAGAAATGAGTTTCATGGCGTGAAAATATAAAGCAGATAACAGAAGAAGAAGAAGAAGAAGAAAAAAAATCAACCAGAACTTGATCAGAATTTCAATTTTCGAGGTAACTGAAAATGAGATTTTCCTGATTCTATTTTCCTTTCTCTCTGGTCATCACTTGTTTGACCAATGGATGAAGTAACAGCAAGCAAAAAAAAGAGTAACTCACCAACAACATGATGATGATAACATGATAATATATCAACTGCTGAATCTTGAAATTGATTCACTGTTAATATAATCAACAGTAAAAGTATCATTGATTCAACAGAAATCGTAAGTTGATTATATCAACAACTTATATTGTGGTGATAATTTAATTTAACACATAGAGAGATAGAAAGAGACAAGAAAAACAGAGAGAGAGAGAGAGAGAGAGAGAGAGAGATAGTTGTGAGCAATCATGAAAACCAGAATTAGATTTTTGAAATATTTACACCAACCAATTTAACCTGAACAATTGTTGACAATTAGATAGCTCAATGTAAACATGATTAAATGACAATGAAATCTCATGGTAAATGAACTCATATTTGATTCAAGGAATGAACTTCACTCATGTTCCGGGTATTTAGATACAAGGACAGCAGGGAATTCATTGACTATACTCAGATATTTTTACTTGATCCTCAATAGGAAGCCTGATCATCTTTCATCTTCATCATAATTACCAATAATTTTCATTGACCTTGGTCACTTGTTGGCTAGTTTATCATGCAATTAATCATGGCCATGAGCAAAAAAAACAAAAAGTTGATCATCATCATCATGAGAATGGAAATTTATTTTTCTTATTATTACTTTTCTCCCTACTCATTGAGAAATAATCATCATCATCATCATCATGATTATCACCGTCATCATCGTCATCATCTCAACAGGATATAATATTAAACCATATTTACCTCTGTGTGTGAGTATCTTACCTTTCAAATGATAACGATAGTCATGGATTAGGTCAGGAACTTGAATAACTAGTTGAACTTTATTGCCAATGTTTATCATCATCATCATCATCATGGTCTCATATCAATTTCCCAATAAATACAGATTAATTAGCTCTTAATTTGATTAATGAACATCATCTTGAAGATGATGATCAAGACCACAAGGTAATAGGATGTTGATTTAAATTCTTGCAAACATTTTACTCTAATCATCATCTTCGATGCTCATTTTTTTCATACAATACTCACACCATGTGATATATATCATCAACATGGTGGTATTCATGGTGATGATGATCAAGTTTTCAAGTCATCATCATTAATATGGAGACAATTTAATGACTCATCTTAATTTTGCTTTACAAAACTTTACTGTAGTTGATGTGATTCATTTAATTATTTGGTTGTGCAGCTTAACAATTAGCTGATTGTGATGATTATATTAACATTTTTTTTTGTAATTTAATCAATTGGCTAATTAATTATTCAATTTATCAATCAGATTAAAAAACAATTTTCTGTTTATACATTTTTTTTATGATCAACTCTGATTAGTTGATTGATTGATTGCAATTAAAAGGTTTCATGATTCATTGATTGTTGTAACAATATCATTAATTGTTTTCATTGCCTCACCTTATTTTAAGTTACCACTAATCATGATTAGGCTCAGCTTAACAATTTAATTCCAATCATCAGACTAATTAACTTTTTTTATCTAAAATATTAAAATGATTAAAACTTTGATAATCTGATAATTTTGTTTTTCTCAGTTAATTGTTATCAGCTTTTGCTATGGGTTGATTGTTATAATTATTGCCTTAGGGGTTTAATTGTGATAATTAACTACTTGTTTAGTGATAAAATAATTTGATGATGATTAAAATTGTCATGTTCACAATCAAGTTTCAGTTTAATCAATTGATTGGAAATGATTTAACTAATCATATGAAATGAAAAGTAGATGAAAAAAAAATGCTGAAACAATTTAATATCTAATTGTTGTTATATCTTTGTCATATCGACCTAAATTGTAAAGTTAATTGTGATTAAAAATCAAGATAATCAAGAAAATTTTATCTATTTCATGATGAAAAGATGACAATCAAAGTTGACAATCAATTTAATCACGATTAATGAAACGAGATAATCAAATGATTAGTTTAGTGATAAGTTAATTGTTATCGTTAAAAGTTATACATTAATTTGTATCTTTAATCATTTGATTCACTTTGAATTCATATTAAATTGTAAAAATTAAGATAATAATCAAATGATGGTTACTATTTAAAACTTAATATTAGTTGAATCAAGTTGATTATCTGACAAGTACCATTGTTGTAATATTTAATTGTTAAGAGATTAAAGTTAATTGTTTGTCAATTGAATATTTGTATTGGTTCAGGTTGCAAATTTAGAATTGGTTGAACTCATTGTAACAATTAAATTGTTGGATATTAAATTACTAGATTTTGATTGTTTAGTGTTAAGTGATTTCCAATTTTGAATTATAATCTTAACCCATCATGAACTTGATATTGAACTTTTTGAATTAAAGTGTTAAAGATTAACCCGCCGAGGGAAACATGACTCGCGGTGGGAAAGTGTGAAAAAAAAGATGAGGATGAACAAGATGCTCTTTTCTCAGTAAGATGATACCCGAAAATTTTGCTATTAAAAAAAAGGAACCATTTGAATAGAAAAACATATGAGAGTAGTTTTGTTTTATTCTTTCACCATGAGAACAGAATTGAAATCTGTATTATCGGATGATGGTAATGATGATTGAAGGATGATAAATGCATCTTCATCTTTCTCTCTCTCTCTCTCTTTTTTTTTCTTTCTTTCCTGTAATATCTTTTTCATGTGAGATTCAGGAGGCTTTTTCCTTCTTCATGGTGGATGACATGAATTCCATTGAAAAGTTTACTGATAATTCATGTAACTTGTTTACGAAAATATCAAGCACACACAACTTTGTTTTTCTCTTTTCCCTCTATCATAGTGATGAAGATATAAAGGTGATGATGAGGATGAAATGGATGTTAAGCAAAAGTGATTCTTTGACTGAACTTTTTTTCTTCATTTCTCTGAAAATTTGTTTATATTTTTCCCTGTAGAGAGGAGGATGAAAATTCAGAGGATGTTTCATATTATTCAGTTATTGCATTTTTATCCTTCTTTTACTTTGCATTATCTTCATTGAAGATGACAACAATAAATTGCAAACAAAAACACAATTATGAGGATGGGTAAAGAGAGAGAGAGAGAGAGAGAGATGAAAAACTTTATATTAAGTGACACTCAAAAAATTTGAGAGTTACAACTTGATCAGCTGGAGTAGAATGATAAATTCAATGGTAATGAACTTGAATTC